CAATACGTAATTCCCGTAACTATGTTCGCCAGAAGTCCCGTTTGATTCGCAATCTCCGAGAGGATTTTCGAACAGTCATCGAAGAACTGTGCTGCATCAGGCAATGTGTTTTGCACACTTTCCTGCTGCTGCTTTGGATCCGTTTCCTCTTGGGCAACGGTATCAGCAAAGAAGGGAATAAGACTCTGTATGGACCGGCACGCCACGACGTGTTGTGTGAGCAGCTTGACACGGCAACTCAGCGTTGCCTCCGTTTCTTCCGTATCACCAGGAATGGGACCGGATACAAAGGCCCGAGCTACCGCGTAAATGAGTCGCCACTCTGAAGACATCTCCGACATACGGTATTCCTGCCCCACCACGTGGATGGGTCGATTTTGCTCATACATACCATTTGTCTTTTCTTCTTGCTCGCTGCTTCCAGTGTTATTTCCCTCGTTATCACCACCACCGTCACCGCCAGTTGCACGGTGTTGGTCCTCATCGTCGCTGTGTTGTTGTTTTAGATGCGTCTCCGTGTCACGGCCACGTTTCCCACTCGTCTTTTGCCCGCGGGTCAAGCGACTTGGGCAAAGTGCCTTCACCAGCGCCGTCATGAGAAAACTACCGCCGGTGCTGCAGACAACCTTTAGTGCAAGTCGCCCCAGAGCGGCATACAGAACTGTCAACTCCGCCTCACAAAGCTGCACCCCCTCCACCAAACCAAAGCACTCAAACACAAAGCGCGATACCAGAGGAGAAGAAAACAGAGCCAGAAATAGCCGTTCGGGAATAGTCGGTGACAGCACCGCTTCAGTGTCATCCTGCGGAGATGCTACTGCCGCGTCCTGTAACACGCGAAAGAAAGCCTCTCTTCGCTGGGGATGCATCATAGCCTTTCTAAACAACCAATTCCCCTGCGTCGTGGCAAAAATTGCCACCCCATATGATGGAAGAAACGGGGGAGGACCTGACTTTCTAGATGGCTGCTGCTGCTGCTGCTGCGACGAACCACCCGCGCCATCCGTCGCCGTGGGAGGAGCAGGCTCAAAAAGAAGTTGCATCCAAAAATTATTTGCATCCTCGTCGTCTCTTTCCAAAGTCTCCAAAATCGTCGTGGCCACGGCACGATTGACAAGAATGTCTTTCAGCAAAAGTTTACCGGTGGGTTGTAAAAGATTTACGGTAGCCTCTCTCTTGTTATGCGTCCTGTCATGTGCTGCCAGTTGGGCCAGAGCAGTTCGAAGTGTCGAATAGACGTGTTTTACAACATGGGTGCCGTCATCCATGTCCACTAATCGAATGCCGTCGTCACAATAAACGTGCTGTACATCTAAAAATGTCATCGCAACTCCCTTCGATAAAATCACGTCGTCATCCGACTGGGGTACTGACATGCATGCCGCAAGATACTGTCGTTCCACAATGACAAGAATCTTTAGTACTCCGGGTGATGCGCGACGCCTCATTCTCCCAAACACCGTCGGATGAAGAGATTCACGTATGCTACTCTTTTGTTTTGCTTCGTCCAACGCCGCAAAACTCTTTAATTGGACCGCAAAGTAAGATTCGCGAAAATCGCCCTCTGCGTTGTATCCTCCTCGCGTTGCCGTGCGACCACGGCCCCCACGATGACTCTCTCGATGAGATGACTGCCGAGAAGCAGAATAACCCGCATCATAAACTGCAGGCGTGTATAGCGAAAATCCAGAACGCTCCGTGTTAGCATACCCCACACCAGAGTTCGGCTGTGTATGATGTTGGGAATGCGAGAGGTGATGTTGGTGATGCAAATGATTGTAATAATGAGGCGGGGTTACTACAGCATGAAGGGGAAAAAACGATGCTTGTGTTAACTGAGGTGCGGTGGTACCGTTGGGAGACACCACAGCCTGGTAATGTGTATGGTAGCTATAGTACTGGTGATTGTGATGCTGCTGTTGCTGATTATGATGTTGGTGTTGATGCAGATGTTGATGGTGCGTGTGGCCCTGCTGTTGTTGGAGGTGCTGGGCGCGGTAAGTCATGATAACCCCTCGCTCTCCCATCGGCATCGAACCATAATTGAACGACTGCATGTAACCGCTCCTTTTATGTATATATATATTTTTTATGTGGTGGTGTTCTTACTTTGTTTTGTTTTGTTTTGTTTTCTTTTCGTACAAATTTTCACTCCTCTAAGCGTGAACTAAAAAAAAAATCAATAAAATCAAAAAAGATAATAATAATAAGAAGAAGAATAAGAATCTCCAACAAAACCTACGGCACAAACGCATACACATATTTAGATACAAACACTACACGTAAGATGCACAATTATATACATGCCTGCATGCATGCACCTGCCGATGCATTCCTTCACAACAGGCCTCCGTTCCCTCCACTTTTCTTTTCTTTTCAATTTCTTTTTTTTCCACCGACATCTTCTTCTTCATGAATATCTTCTTTGCATCTAACCCATCAAATCCACCCCCACCCACCCACCCCCCAAAAAAAAGGGTGTGTTTCTCCTCTTTGCGCGTCGCACCGTCACCAAACGGGCCCTTACAACCATGATCCTCCCCCCGAGCTGTTCATCTCCACCACAGCCGGGCGTCCTTCCCGTTGTACGGTATTTATCAGCGACTTGTGAAGGCTATCCTCCGACAAACAGGCCGTCTGAAAGCGGCAACCTGTCGCTGCGGGTGACATCAGCGGTGGGTCATATGGCGACACAACAGAACGCGGCCCCACGGCCTTCCTGAACCGTTGCAAAAATTCCTCCGTCCATTTGATGCGGTACTCGCGACCGCGGAATTCCAAAAAGGCGATTCCAATGTCAATACGAAGAACACTTTTCGCGTTACGCATGAGATACTTTCCAATTTCACGCGTGGAGTCTATTATGGCTGCTTCCACCACAAACCGATCGGTACCAGAGCGATCCGCAATTTTGGAGTAACTGATGATATGCGGCACGCTTGCATGATATTGGGCATCCGCAATGGTAAGAACATTTTGCAAGTGAAACTTGGAGGTAAAGTCTGGCAAAAGTACCAACTGGAGTTTGTAAAAAACATGTTTTCCATCATAGTACTGGATATTTTGCACCTTAACGCTCGCATGGAAGAAATCCGTCACGATGCAGGACCTTTTTAAGAGAAGCTGCTCCTCCAACAATTCCCCCATCGAACGCCATATGCGGTTCAACAAATCCGTCCCACCGTTGCCTCTTGTCTGATGATAATACAAACCTTGGGTGCTGGCCACAATACTCGCAATCTCCCCGTAGCACGCGTAACATCCAGCGGAATTTATAAGTGGGTCTCTCTTCTCTTCAAGTCCGCCCTGCATCATCCCTACCTTCTCTCCACCACTTTCAGGTGCCGAAGATAACACCATCGTCAATATTATTTTTTATTTTTAAAGTAATTCACCCGGTTGTGATGATTCACAAAAACTGAATGCGAAAAGGAATCAACCGCTCTGCTTGGAATTACACCGTGCTCTTTCGTTCTTGAGATATGCAATTTGATGCCTATTGGTGTCCCTGTCAACAATTCCCACAAACCTTTCCCTTGGTCCTAAAATATAAAAACGTGTCGCATGCAGACAAAAGCAGTGGAAAAAGAAAAAGGAAAAGAAGGGAAAAAGATAAAGCTAGGCGTGCGCTGCTCGGCAAACAGGCATTGCCCACCTCCGCGCGGCATACACGCACAAAGACAGTCTCTCTCCCTCTCCGGAGATGCAAACAAAGTGGGAATCATGACGGTGGGGCAGGCATTGTCAAGGCAATCACGCTGTCGAATGCACGGTGCCCCCTCTCACCAAAACACAAATAAGAAACAAAATAAACGACAATTATTGTTCCTCACACCAAGCCTCAACGAGCTGCAGGCGTCCCTCCTCGTGGTGGCTGCTGTGGCCGCCACTCACTGCTCCCAGGCGTTGTTGTCGCGCTCGACCCAGCCGAAGCCCTCGTCCACCTCCGCCACCGGGGCGGCGGCCTGGTTGACCTCCTCGTGCTTCAGCGCCTCCTCAGGGTCGCGGTAGAAGAAGAGGTCCACCTTGACATCCCACGGCACACTGCGGGGGATCGTGCCGCGCAGGCGCAGCACCTCGCGGGCCAGCAGCCAGTACATCATGCTGATGGAGTAGCGGCCGCGGTTGTTGCACGGAATGGCAATGTCCACAAACTCCAGCGGGGCGTCCGTGTCGCAGAAGGCAATCACGGGGATGTTCACAAGGCTGGCCTCACGAAGGGCCTGGTGGTCCGTGCGGGGGTCCGTGACAAGCAGCACGCGCGGCTGCATGAACTTCTTCTGGATCTGGTTCGTGAAGGTGCCGGGGATGAAGCGGCCAGCCAGGAACGACGTGCCGACAAGCTGCGAGAACTTGAAGATGGCGCGCTGACCGAAAAGACGCGTAGAGCAGACAGTGACGTCCTGCGGGTTTTCCACCGCGGCGATGACGCGGGCGGCGAGGATCAGCTTCTCCCACGTCATGTGGAGGTCAATGATGTTCGTGCCCTCCTTCGTGCGGCTGTGGATGTACTTCTTCATGGCGTTGCTGCGGTTCTTGGTGCCGAGGTGGCAGTGCATGGCAACGAGCTTCTGCACGTCGCCCTCCTTCATGCGGAGGACCTTGGCGCCAGATTCCACAGAGGTCATTCGGATGCAGTTGGGTTGTCCTTGAGTGCGACTTGCGTGAGCAGAACTGCATGGAAAAAAACAAAGACAAAAAAAAAAAAGGTCAGTCAAATGAATAAATGCGCAACAGGAACGTCCCTCACTCTCTCACTATTTGTGCGTCTGTGTCACATGATGGCAAGAAGCGTCTGTTATGTGTGTCTGGAGAGTCAGTAACATGCGTAGAGAAAGCAAAAACCAAAACAATCACAACGATCCAGTCACATGTATGTATGCGTGTGTTTGTCTTTTGGCTGCGTTACTATTTGCGGACCCGCGCGTATCGCTCCATGTTATGCAACCGTCGTAACTGATCCAATTCGCCCATCAGTCGAATGATTTCTTTATCTTTCTTTTCCAACGACATCCGTAGCAAAGCCGACGCATCCGCTTCCCGGGATTCCATCTCATATTGAAGGGCTGTGATTGTCGCATCCTTTTCAAGCATTGTATCGTACAGGACAGCGATCCGACGCTCGTAATCAGCCGTAGTCAAAGACGCTTCATCGTCGATGCTCTCTGTGTCCTTCCCTTCTCGCCCACAGTGACAAAGAGCATGCACTTTTTCCTTTTCTTCATGTAATGCCAATCTGTTGTTTGCCAGGTCCAACTGCGCGGCCAGTTGGTTGACAACGGCCTTAAGAGTTTCGATATTGCCACGTAAAATACTGTTGTTGAGCTCTGCGCATTTTAACCGCCTTTGCAACTCCTCCACCGTGTTGTCTCCACTATTGACAACGGCAAGAGGTGAGGTGGTGGTATTTACGCACCCACACGTGTCTGAGACTGTTTTTAGGTTTTCTTTGTCCAGTGTGGCTACCAAAGGCGAGTCCTTTTTTAAAGGCGCCAACGACAGTGATTCTGACGAATTGACCCAACCCGCATTGTTGCCGTTCGTTGTAGACATACGGATGATCTCTTCCACATGCAAGTTGGCGTCCCTCGTTTTGCACACTTACCACCTCCAGCGGTCTCTGAACCCCCTCCCACCCAGTAAACGTCGTTGTGGGAACGTGGGGCATATGCGCACGTATTGTCAGTAAAAACAAAACAACAACAACAAAAAACAATTGCAAATAAATAAAAATAAAATTCAAAAAATCAGATGCAGTCTCTATAAATCGCACGTATGTTAAAAAAAGAAAAAAAAGAATTTATATTGGTGTGTGTGTGTGTGTGTGTGTGTGTGGATTCTACTTTTTACTAACCTTTGCGCATCCTTTTATGCTTTTTTTGTGCGTGCGCACCAACGAAAACAGCAGCTTCGTCGCTTCCCTCCTCCTCGGAGTCTATTTTTCTTTTTTTTTTTTATTCTTCAGTGTTTTTATTAATAAATCACGTGCAGGCAAGCACAAGCAGATACATATATACATATATATACGTATGTATATCTAAATGGGTGAAAGCATGGTGTTCTTTTCTTTCCTCCGCGTCTATGAAGTTATTCTTACAAATTT